TAAACAGTTGTACCTTACCCTCAAAAAGTGATAATTTACCCCCTAAAAATGGTACCTTATCCCACAAAAGTGACAACTTACCTCTAAAAAAGTGATACATTATCTTTCAAAAAGTGGTACCTTACTCCCCTCAAACAGGTGTAACTTAGCCCCAAAATTGATGATTTACCCCGAAATAGTTATATCTTAACCCTAAACAGTGGTAACCTATCTCGAAAAAGTGGTATATTTCCCCCAAAATAAGTGATACATTACTCTCAAAGAGTTACAATTTACCCCCAAAAAGTGGTACCTAATCCTTCAAACAGTTGTACATGACCTCCTAAAAATGGCAACTTATTCCACAAAAGTGATAACTTATCCCAAAAAAATTATATTTTACCGCCAAAAAAGTAATGTCTTATCCTCAAAAAATTGTTAACTTACCCCTAAAAGTGATAATTTTGATCACTAGGACAACTAAGGCCAGTATGATTTAAGTTAGATGGTTGATTGCTAAACATGCCAAATGATTGGTCTTGATTTAAGCTACGATCACTAAGCTTGATTCGTAAGCTTTGATCGAAAAGACAATTAAGAGTGATCCTGACTTACAAAAAAAAAAATGCTAAACTTATGTAAATAGTGTTAAATTATTTTACAATTTTATTACTAAAATTAGTTAATAACACTTTTATCCTCAAAATATGCATATTTTATCATTTTGATCCCCAAAAAATAAATTTTTTTAATTTGGCTCCCTAAAGTATTCAACTTTGTATTAATTTGATGAATTGAGTATTAATTAAATATGTTTTAAATATTGATTTGATAATTTGAATGTTAATTGGATGAATTTGAAAGTTAATGTGATGTCAATTTGTCGAATTGCATATTAGTTGAATATTTTCAAGATAAAATTGAAAAAATTGATCTTTTAAGTATAAATTGACAAAATATGCATATTTTAGGGGTAAAAGTATATTAACCCATTTTACAAAATCATGATCGGTTTTAGAAAATCAGGATCACTAGTGACTGATCCTGATTTCTAAAATTGGTTCATACACTTTTATCCCTAAATTATAGATATTTTATAGTTTTATATCTAAAGTATCAATTTTGTCAATTTTATCTCTAAAATATTTAATTAACAAGCAATTACCAAATTGACATCACATTAACACATTTAATTCATCAAATTAAAATTAAAGTTCAACAAATTAACATTCAATATCATCCAATTAACACACAATTCATCAAATTAACATTTAATTCATTCAATTTATATTCAAATTTATCCAATTAACATTAAAAAATAATAATAATAAAATTCAAATCAACACCAAATTAATATGCAATTTTATCCAACTAATTATTCAATTCATCAAATTAATATCAAATCAACATTCAATTTATTAAATTAACATTAAATTAACTTAGTTAACATTAAGATTTATCAAATTGATATTCAATTTCATCAAATTAACACTAAATTAGCATTCATTAGCTGTGGTCTTTGGCGTCTTTCTGCACCCACTACTCGTGGACTGCTATACATAATCATTTTCCACTACGTATGGATTTTTGTTTATTAGAGCCATCAGGTAATATTCCATTGTCCCCTGTCCACGTGTCAGGCTGTAGCTTTTATAGACTGGCCCGGTGCCGTGCTCTCATCTACCGAGCTAGTACCTATACTGAGTTCGTTAGCATCAAGCTAGTACCCGTACTGAGCTCGTTAGCATCGAGTCTCCCTAGAATTGGGCTGCAGCCCAGTTCACGCCTAATAAATGTGGTCTAGATGAGTTATTTTGCGCCGCCTTCCGCAAGCCCAGAGAGTTTTAAGTTTTTGGAGGGGTCTAAACTTAAATCCATAATTATCAAAAGTCTATTGTTCAATTTAATCCAAATATATCTAGTCATCCAGATTCAAGTATATTGTTCATTTTAATCCGAACATATCTCCTCATTGCAGAAATAAAAGAAAAAAAAAATAAGATGACAGAAATGCCTGATGGAAGGCATGACAGAGAAAGCACTCCAGAATATAGCCTGGTTGGAAGAAGAATAGGTTTGTGGAGAGGAAGACATAGAAAAACATGCTTTGACCAGAAGTTTCTTTTCTTTGGAACAAAGGAAGAAAGTTCTCATGTTGAGAGCCACATCTACGCCAACAATTTTTCCCCAAAATATCCATGCTAGCACCCAAATTGTGTAGAAACAATGTTAGGGATTTAGAAATTTTAAATAGATCAAATTTGGGAGCAATACGTAGCTTAAAAGACGTGACATAATCAAAATACCCCGTCAAGTATTGTTAAGCACTTTATTTGTTGAAGTTTGAAAAGGTTTCACATCATTTAAATCATAATTTCGGTCCAAATATTTAGTTAGAATAGTATATCTGCTAAGAATTTACAAGAGTGTGGAAAGCTATTGACTGCATGAGTCTAATGATAATAATATCGGATAACGTAAAATAACGGCACGAAGATATAGAGGTTGCAGAGGGATCCGAAGGTAGTTAGATGCATGTGTGTGAGTAAGTGATGGTTTTGCAGGTGCGGAGCTTAATAGCCCCTCTCTGTTGTAAAGAAATGATAACTTATAAAAATAAAACAACTAATAGAATTCAATGGTTTATTAGGACGAAGAGTTTAACTAATTCACTCTAATGGAATCTCTTGTTAGTTGGTTACTATTGCTTAGAGAAGAATATTGGTACAATGGGATTCAATCATCATTTATGTAAGGTATTTCATCCTTTTTATATAGGGACTAATTTTTGTCTTTATGTGAGATTGTGTGGTCTCCTCAATCAATTTGAATCATAACAGAAATATTTTGTCGTTAGAACATCTCTAACATTGTTCCACATATCTTTCTAAAAGCGATGAGGCATCATCTTGGAAGTGGTCACTTTATGCCCAAGGTCGGACTAGCTTGCTAGCTAGATTTAGCTCTTCTTTGGGTGCGTATATCTGATCTTTCATGGTCACTGGTCGAGTTGATTAGATACTATTTCAGAAGAGTTGTTAAGGCTAGAAGCTTAGCTTGACCGAACTTTATAATTTAGTTGCATTAGATCATGCCGAGCTCCGATTAAATACGAAAGAGTGTCTAATTCTATCCATAGTATCATCAATATCAATCCAATAAATTGATTAAAAAGTTAATTAATAATCCACGTAAAATTTAAAAACATAGAGAATGACGTGATCGGATATGAAACAGGTGTGATATTGGCATAATAAGGCTCTTGAATACCCTCGTTAATTGTCTTTCGACCTTAGGTTAGACTTTTAAATCTTGATGCAGACCTAGAGCTCCAATGTTTATGTACCAACCAACTCATTCTATGGCTCGCCTCTGATATTTACAGTAGAAAACGGAATTCACCGGCTACTTGTAACCATAATCTAAGCCTTGACAAATGGTATGCGGAGACCCACTAAAAAATGGCCCAGCCCGGGACTCCATTTTGCAGAAGCTTCATGGATCGTGGTTCCTGTTAGGACAGATGGCTTGACCTGATTTCAGACTTGTCCTGTTAAGATAGGCTCCCTCTTAAAACACTAGCCCGATTAATTAAACACAGTGAACCTTATAATTTATAACTGGACTACCCAGCCCAACTAATTCTGCTAGATATCTGGGCCCAACATGGGCCAATGACTGGTGGACTTAATTTGCCCAGCCCGCTGACAAGGCCATAAAAATGATTATAAAAACTATTTAGGGTATACCTTAAAACCTATCCATACTAAAAGGGTGGTGGTACAATTATCCAAAATATTTTGGGTAAATTGAAAGGGAGTACACAAAATTAGACTTATTTGGTAAAAAGTACACATTAAAAAATGTAGGATTATTAAGTCCTTAATTTTGATACTTATTTGTATGTAAGTACACAATTTGAATTTGCCTAATTTTTTTTGTGACATTTTTGTCCTCCACTGATCCATGTGTATGTTATTTGGAAAGTGGTGCATTAAATATCTCCTAGTTTTATGGGAGAATTTTAGTATTTTAATGCATCTTGATTCATGTGTATTTATATATATCTACATAATAAAACAGGAGTGTGTTTGAATTTTGTCCCAGTCATATTTTCCTCCTCAAAACTATCATCAATCACTTACATCACCCATTATCCTTTTGTCAAACTCAAACATTAAATCGCATCACTATTTTCTATCACATATTTAATTATTTAATATTTGATTAATTTATAATTAATGTATTTTGAAAAAATTTAATATAGTGGAATCGATTTTTTAGACACTCGAATTTTATATTTTATCGTGCCTTTAGGCACGGGTTATAACTAGTATACATATATAAATACACACACACACACATATATATGTGTGTGTGTGTGTGTAAAGTGTAACATTGAAAGTATAAAATATTATTTTATGTCTCACATTTCTTAATGAAAATATAAAGTGTTATAGGGTAATATTGAAAGTAACAATAACAGTGTAGCAATAACAATATAACAAATTATTTACACAAGGTAAGGGGAGATATTACCTAAAGTGTTACAAAAAAAAAATATGCATGTCTCATCTTACACTAAAAATGCTAATTAATTGATAAAGTGTGAAAGTGTTACACTTTCAATGTTAACATGTAATATTTTACACTTTCTATTAAATAAGGTAAGACATAAGGTAATACATTACACTTTTAATGTTATACTTTATACGTATATACATACTTGTATATATGTATATAAAAAAGTATGTATATATATATATTAACAAATACATATAAATTAATGTGCATTAAATATTAAAATTATCTCATAAAACTTGGAGATATTTAATACACTATTTTCCTAAAATGGACATTTATGTCTTTGTATCTAAGTAATATACATTTTTTCAAAATATTTTTTAATATGTATTTTTTACCAAATAAATTTAATTAAATATACCGACTTCCAAAAACCCAAAATAATATTTTCTCATTTCATTTGGGTTTGGGTCGGTGCCCTACATCTACATCGTGCACGTTGATGTAACCCTTACTATAAAACCCTAAGCGAAGTACAGACGGAGAGTAAGAAGATAAAAAGAGCGATCAATACCGCAAACCACATCCTTAGCCGCAGAAGATAAAAGATCGGATTTCAGTTTGAATCCAGAGGTAACGTTTCTTCAACCTATCTGTTCCTCTGGGGTTTTCAATGCCCTACTCTTCATATCTCCAAAGCGATGCCTAGATGTTTTTGTAACTCCGATTTCGGGGTTTTGAACTGTCTGGGTTGTATTGCCCTAGTATTCATATCTTCTGAAGCATCGATTGGATATTTTCGTGGTTTCGATTCTGGGGTTTGAACTGTAAAATTAGGGTAAAATGTCTCCGTATGGACAATTAATATAGGTTTGGTGTGCTATCTGCTGATCTTGTTGTAATTTTGGGGGTAGATTTCATTACAAACATGGCTGAAGAAGAAAATCGGAATGAAGTGAAGGAGGTGGGGAAGGACGACGCTGCGGATGTAAGCTTTTATCAATTTCTTTCTCTCTTTCTTCTTCGTAATTTTTTTTAAAAATTTTGCGGAACATTTCATTGCCGGATGATATTTTTTTTGTGTCTCGTGGTGATTAAGAAATTATTATCTTTTATGATTCTTCACGGCCAGTCCTATTTGTTTCTTTGATTGCTGATATCGACATGGTTGAGATACGTACTCTCTATGTTGTGCACTGGAAGGCTTTGATTGACTTGAGATAAGTACTCTCTATGTTGTACACTGGAAGCCTTTGAGTGACTTGCATATATTAAAGGTTAAGGCGCTGGTAAGATTTTTAGTTGAAACATCGGGATGTGCGAGTTGTCACCTGTTGGCTCACACGCTTTTATTACATTAAGATTGCACAGTATGCTAGTATGTTATATGTTGCACAAGTAAATGAAATATGGGAGTTATGGTTGCCTTACTTTGTGGATTTTTGAAAGTTAAAGTATCTGATTCTGCTTTCCCTGTAAGAGAAATGGAAGGAATGAGTATATATGTAAAAAATATTCCATAACAACAAGATAAGTGAATTTGAAGGTAAAAATGACTTTTAGTTTGCACAGCACAACAGAATGATCAACGTAACACTCAAGTGTGATTCCATGTGTAGTCCTTTAACATGAAGCATGCCAAAAAGGAATGGGATTGAACTTTTATGGAAAAGTCAAGATGGCAGATCATTGTAGACCCTTTATTCACATTGCTTGCGTGTAAGGGGGTGCAAGAACTTGTCAATTTGATGTTGAATAAATGTAAACTACACATGCTATGTCTAGTAGTAATGACCAGCAATGCATTCTTTGTTGTCTGTGTAGCTGAATACACAAGGACCCATGCAACTGGTGCACATTTGGACTACCGTCAAAACATATATATAATATTATTTCATTGCAGTGAAATAACTTAAATACTACCGACTTGGCAATCTATGACTTGACTACAGCTTTACATCGTAGTTCTTATCAATAAATGCATTGCAGATTGCACCATTCGACCCTACAAAAAAGAAGAAAAAAAAGAAGGTTTTAATTCAAGATCCCGCAGATGATTCTGTGGAAAATTTGGCTGAGAAAACTGAAAGTCTATCAGGTTATATGAACTCACTCTAGATTCTGTTGCATATCTTTGTCTTGTTGAAGAGCTTGTAATTTGTGCTGATGCATGTGCCACTTCATCCTGCAGTTTCTGAAGGTCTTGAGACTACCTTTTCCGGTCTGAAAAAGAAGAAGAAGAAACCGGTTAGTTTTCCTGCTATCCACAATATACCAGTATCGTTGGTAATCTTTTTGTTGACAGCATTTGCATGGTATCTTTGTAAACTGTTTCAGGTGCATACTGATCTCTTGACTGATGAGAAGGAAAATGAAGTCAATGACTTTGATGGTAATGGTATGTTATATGAACCTGCAGTTAAATAAGTGCTTATTATAATCATGTATTGCCTTCCCTTTATTCTAGACATTTCTGAATGGAATGTAAGAAATAAGTTTCCCTTAACTTTTTAGATCACATGGGAGAGGATGAAGAAGGAGAAGGAATTGTCTTGCAACAGCAGTTTCCATGGGAAGGGAGTGACCGGGATTATGAATATGAGGAGGTTTGTGTTTATCTTGTTCAATTTTTATAGATTTTTGTTGGTTTTATTATAAGATTTATATTTGGATATAGAGGATTGTTTTTTTTATAACATTTACTGGAATACTAGTATTTCATTTGTTTCTTGATGTTACTGTTGTACACTGCTTTTGCACATGGGCTGTGCCCCTTGCTTTTGGTTTATTCTTAATAAGATATTTTTTTTGTAAATATTGTTTACAGAAAATGATATCCCTGCTTGCTCAGGCAACTGAGTTGTCTGTTATAAGGCTCAAGATATATGTAGCTGTTCAAGGGAAGCTTAAGAGTGCTAAAGCAACTCACGTTTGGGATAATGAGTAACTAAATGCTGCATCTAAACTCTAAACAGCAGCCTCTAGGCCCTGTAATATAAGTTGCGTTGGGCATGGGAAAGTTCTAATCAAGAATAAAGCTTGCAATAGTTGGGGTAACCAAGCAGTTGGCGGGGGCTGCTGGGCCTCCTGAGGCTAGTCTATACCAGTTCATAATGCATTAGCAATTTAGCAATATGGGTTTGGTAATTATTTTTTTAGGTGTAAGTGGAGGTTGAGCTTGAGCTTGAGCTTTGTTGAGTTACTTGAGTGTGACTAAAACTGTTTGGTTTGGTTTGGTTTCCTTGATTTTAGTTTTAATCATGTGATTTGATTTCACATTTGCGAAAAATATGAAGCACATGAAGTCAGAAAACTGTCAAAATAAGTCAACATTGGTTAATCATGCATTTATTCTATCAAGGAAGTATATGTGGCATATATTTCTTTGATGATGGATTTTGAGGTCATTCCCCAGTAGTCCCCTTTAATGATGGATTTTGAGGTGAGAAATATAGTGTGCATGAGTGACAACTGACAAGTATACTCTTGTTCCATTAGATGTCATTTTTTGGTCTGGACATTTCTTATATGTAGCATCTGTAATGACTAACTAACATCTCTATGATGAGAACTATTGTTCCAAAGATGCTAACTCATATATTAACCAGTTAGAACTATGTATACTGAAACTGGCAATTTGGAAGCACTAGCATGGCTGAATTCGCCTTTATGATTTAATTGTGTTGGGTTTTTTTTTTTCATTTTCATAAACTTATATTTTTATTTCCACCTCACTTTTGTTACACAGATCAGATCTGTATGCCAACCATAAGAATAGGCAAAAATAATTCATTTTATTGTGTTTGTCAGTTTCAATTTTTGTGCAGTTATGCATCTCTTATTTTTTTCATGTAAAATGTTTTGAATGGCTTGTAGTTGTGAAGGCATAGTTTTTGTTCTCGATGTATTGTTTTCTCCTTTTTCTGGTTGACTTTCCTTGTATATTTCTTCTACAATTTTGTTGTGTTTAGCTATCAATTAAGTGGGTATTATTCTGTTACGTTCTTTTTATCCAATTGGATACTGAATATTTTTCTGCGGCTGATGATCTATAACCTAAACTTGCAGCTTTTAGGCCGAGTATTCAATATTCTTCGTGAGAATAATCCGGAGCTTGCAGGAGATAGGCGTAGGACAGTTATGAGGCCTCCACAAGTTCTTCGTGAAGGCACAAAGAAAACTGTATTTGTGAATTTTATGGATCTCTGCAAGACGTATGTCTTTATCATTTACCATATTCTATTTTTCAATTAATTCTCATTTTGTTCCTTTAAACGAAAAAAATCAGAACTTTAGGACTTGTGCCTCTCTATATGCTTAAATTATAGAGAATATTATTTATCGCTCTCATGCATGTGTGTGCTTGATATGCTATTGTGGTGTAAGAAGGAAAACTTTGTAATAGTGTTGCTGCACGACAGCTATAATTAACTCAGGCATCTTGTGTACTATACCATTCAAAGGCTAGCTTCTTTTCTTTATAGAGGAGTTGCTGTTTCTGATTGCCTTTATTATGTTAAAAGCATGTTAATGCTACTTGTTCATAAACTAGGACGATTAAAACATGCATTGCTGGAGCATGATTAGTTCACTGATTGTATTTTTATTAGTATTTAAGATTATCTTCTCCAATGTCTGTTGTTGCTAAATCCTGTGAACATTTTGTTTACACTCATAAATTTGTCACCTTTTTTCCTACTTTTGCACAGGATGCATAGGCAGCCAGAGCATGTTATGACTTTCTTGCTGGCTGAAATGGGGACAAGCGGATCACTTGATGGACAGCAAAGGCTAGTTATCAAGGGAAGATTTGCTCCAAAAAATTTTGAAGGGATCCTGCGGCGATATGTTAGTAAGTTTCTTAATTTCATAATTACTGAATTTCCTGGGTCATAATAAGACAGACAAATCTCAAATGTGGGCCTGCGAATTGGAAGTGCCCCTTTTCTTTTTATTATTTGGCCCCTCTGCTAAAACTGAACCCTAATGATTCAGAGATCTGGTGGATATAGTGTTCTGGCATACTCCTGCTTTAGTGATTTCTCATTTAGTCTTTTGTGGTTTCTGGTGTTCTGCCTCATGTGGCAGGGAGACTTTGGCATACCTAAGGGAAGCTCATTTCTCTGTTACATGCTTTAAAACTGTTGAATTATTGGTTGATAGTTGCATTTATTTTCAGATGAGTATGTCATTTGTAATGGTTGCAAAAGTCCAGATACAATACTTTCGAAGGAAAACCGTCTCTTCTTTCTCAGATGCGAGAAGGTAATGGTGTCTTTTCTAACTTCATTTTTACATTGACGTCTTATCTTGCATCTAAGAATTTGGGGCACTATAGTGGTAAGATGTAGAATTATTTTTTTATTTTTCTTTCTATTTTTTTTAAGCAGAAAAAGGTATAATAACTAAATTATGAATATTCTGAGGCCTATGATGTTTTCAAAGTTTGAGTATATTATCTGATTGTCTTAGATGACTGAGGAATCTGCAACTGGGTCCCTTTCCCTGCGCCCAAATTTTTTTTTCCCTGAATTTGAGGAACTATGGTTACTTCTTATTTATACCCTTTTTTTGGAGTAGAGGAATTATGATTACTTTGTACTGGCGATTTCCCTAGGCCAATGATGACTTAAAGATTTGCCTACATTGTCTGATTCTCTCAGCTGACAGAAGAATTTGAACTATTCTGAGGCCTTGTTGGATATATTGCACTTGCTTTGTTTTGTTTTTTTTTTTTTTTTTTTATCATTGCTTAATTTATTCTTCTTTTGTGTTAATGATTCTCGAGATTTGTATTCGTTCAAGGACTTGTTTCATCAGTGAAGAGGAAATATTCATTAAATTGACTGTCTTTTAATAACTGGATTGCTTGCTTGGTTACTTGTCACCTAATATTGATTGCCTGGTCCCTTGTTCTGTCTAATTTGCTTTTCTTAATGTTATTGTAGTGTGGTTCTGGTCGATCTGTTGCTCCCATCAAGGCTGGTTTTGTAGCTCGTGTTGGCCGTCGGAAGGCTGGAACATGATCTGTCCTGTTATATTTCTTCGTTTGGGAAGTTTTGGTCCTGAGTTCCTGACCTCATTTTACTCTTTTTTTCTTCTTCCATAAATGATCCATATCCATTATGTCTTTCATGCTGAATATTAGTAGTTGTCTTGTAGCCAATTATGGATATGGAAACTTGGTGGCTTTTAGCTATGGAGCCTTCGGACATAGAATGTTGTGGATAATGAGCTTCTTTCACGGATGTATACAATTGTGTTTGTTGAAAACTGCTGTGATTGCATTGTTTTTTTATTTGGTCTTTGTTTCTGAATAGTATTCGGAGGGCATATAATTACTTTGGCAAGGTCTTGGTGCCTGTGGAACGTCTTATTGTACCTTTTATTGCTTTGTTCTCGTGTGGGGGTGTGGAAGGCAGTATCTTGAGAGCCTTATTGTAGCATCATTCATAAACGGTTACATTTAGCTGGTAAGCTTAGAGAGTTGAGAGTGAGATGTGTATGCAGATGGTATTATGCCGGTCTTTAAGCAAGAAAGATGATGCATGTACGGTGCCTAAGTGAGTGGGTTGGACGCAACAGCGGATTAATAGTGAGATGTGTCATGGAGTAAGCCTGCAGAAACAAATAATCGTCTTCTTGGAAGTTGTTTAAACACGGCAAATTTGTTTCAGTTTTTGATAATGGAGAATAATTTCAATCATGTCCTTTGGATTTGTAATCATAACGTCCTTTGGATTCGGAATCATAACGTAAATTGAGCTGGGATAAAAAATTAAAACTCATAGTTGCATTAAAAACAGTAGTGTACTGTAAACATCACACCTCACTCATACATCCTCTTATTACACCAGTTTTGGGGAATACTAATAGCATATGTAGGAAGGAAGGACCCATTTTCTTGTCCCACTTTCTGTACTTTATTTGGTGGGAAGTGAAGAAGAGAATCACATGTATAAGAGAGCTACGAAAGCCAAGGCCGACATTGCTGATATAATGGAGGCCGATCTCTTCTGGTACCCACTGGTATGGTATAAACTTACTCCATTGAACCCTGAAATTACATTGGCCAACCAGAATTTAGTCTCTTGGCACTGATATTTTTTTTTTGGGTAGGTTATATTCTTTATTATAACCGCATGCCTCGCCATTTGGCTCGTGGTTGATCAGGCCATGGCCAGCCCCAACCCGTCATATGGTGACCCTTGAACAGCTCGAAAACCCAGAGCGTAGGGCGATGAGCTGCGTTTTTAGCCCGCCAAATCAATTCAAAAAATTTATTACCATACTATATGAATGTGGTAATAAAATTCAAAAAGTCCTATATTATTAGTTTAAAGGTCAATTAGAGCCAGTCCACTGTGCGACCTTATTTTCCTTAATAGGACTACCCCGGCACAGCCATGGGCCACTAAAGGCCATGACCAGAGGAGGCCCGGACTGGCCCGGCCCAGGGAAAAATTTACCCTATAAAGCCATACCTATAGATGTGTTGCATCCTCTGTTGATTGTCTCATAGAGCTCCTTAACAGTGGCTTTGTTAGCAAACCAGTAGTCACGTTTCACAAGATGAATGCAAGTAAGCACTGTCCTGGTGTGATCTGCGCATCCTGCTTTACAGAACTCTTCTCCGTCGCCGTGGGTCACGTTCAGCCATCCTTCTTCGGTCAGCACGTACTTTATCGGGCAGCTATGGGATATCTGTGTACCATACATGGAACTTATATTGTGCATATACAAAATAAGCCTAATATAGATTCTGAGGTGAGGGCGTGGCCGCAAGGGGTCCCTTTGGCTTTGGCTTGCAGGTGGTTGCGGATTCCAACTTCATCCCCTCCCACCCGAGGAAAAAAAAATTGTTCTCAGCAAAATGATGGCCATGTTTAATATCTGAAAAAATACTACACAATCTAAATGAAACTTAAAAATTGTAACTCAAATTTATATCATCCTCTGGATAAGTGTTGGATGAGTAGATTCTACAAAAAAAAAAAAAGTTGATGAAACCTACTCATTTAAAAAATGATATGTATTTGAATTATAATTTTTTAAATTTTATTTGAGTTGCGTATCATTACTCTTAATATCCAATGTTATAAGCTGAACAGTTCAATGCTTTTCACTGAAAGTCGGTAACCCGAAAAAAAAAATCGATGAAAAGACAAGTTCCAAGTAAGAGAAAAGTTACATTTTGCAGGCAGTAATAAGCACTTCTCCAGCCCTCGAATGGAGTTAGATTCACATTGTCTGTAGGGTCTGTTTTATCTGAAAAAAATAAAAAATAACCAACACAAAAATCAGTATTGGATTATCCAACCAATTGATCATAACAGGTTTCTCACAGTGATTATGACAACGAGGATAAGATAAAAGAATTTGGCTTATTCCAGTGCCCAAGAACAGCCTCAAATAATTTTGCTGTTTATCTGAGTTGATAAGAAGGGGAAGAGGAGATTACTCTCTGCTTTCGCATATCGAAATAGAAGGAAAATGCCGAAAAACAGCGATATACGCCCAACTTTGCTACGTAAACTCTGGCAAATTTTCATTTCTTAAGAGATTGAAGGGTGGCTGAAAAACGTATTTGCAAAGGTAAGGAAAAATTTTCTGCAGCAGAACATTAAATACCTCAAGAATGGAAGCTATGAATGATTTAAAATGAAGGAGGAAAAGACATCTTCGAAACAAACTAGGGAATATGATTTAATTACCAGTGGTATATGCTGAGGATATATGAAAGCTATACACATTGTTAAAAACAAGGGCAACGTAATGGAACTACATGAACTTCAGCAATATATAAAAAATGGAACTACATGTTGGGGGGACAAAACAAAGCTGAGTGAGTGTATACCTTGTGGGGAATTCCCTAGGTGATATCTGACAAAGACATATGCTATTGGTTTTACCTCCTCCTCACTTCGGCCTCGTTAAATGGCCCACTGGACGTTATCCTGGTGCAGCCCGCCAGGATACTGGGCCGGATTTGGTGTATGACGATTAGGGGTGTTAAAATATGATACAACACGAAATTAAAGGATTTTAATCTTTATTAAATCACTTGTTTCATAACCGAGTAGCCTTGACAAGATACGATTAATAAATGAATCGAGTATGAATGAAATTAATTAAAAAAAATATACGACACTATTCGTTTATATACAAGTTATACACGATTTATACCCGACACGAACTCAATATGATACGACTTTTTAAACGCGAATTAATAAACGAATCAAGTATGAGTAAAATATTTTTTAACATGAATCCATTAAGATTCAATATAAACCCGTTTCAACCAACACGATTAATAGGTCTAGCAATCCCTGTGGCCAGCCAACTAGCCCAACGGGAGGCAATGGGTTGAAGAATTGCCCTCCCCAATCTGTTGGCTAGTAAACAGGATGATTTTAGATTTTCAGCGTGCAGGCGGTCATGGGCTGCTGATTGGAGGCCAGGGTAGGCCTGGCCTGCCAAGTATCCGATCTTTAGACAATGCAAGAACCTAATAGATCATGCTGGACCCAAGGTTGCTTCTCTTTGGGTCTTGAGAAAGAAGGGCTGGCCCTTCAAAGAAAATTTGAGGGTTCTAAGGGCCGGTGTTTTTTTTAGAAATTATAAGACAAAAAATACCACTTTTAAAAATATAGGTCAAAAAGTACATCACCGCTAACAAATCTTTAAAATATCCCCTTCAGTAAAATGAGAACCAATTCCTATATTTTTGCCTCTAAAATTGAAATATCAGGGATATCAACTGTTACTCATAAAACTCCTTTAATATCGTTGAAACCTTCATTATTCCAAGATTAATAAATTTTTTTTCCTAAAACCTCCATTCTTTTCAAAATGTCCTAATTTCAATGGATCCAAACAATTTTCTATTATTGAAAAACTAACTCTCGATCAAAATATCAACGGAGTTCAAAACCTTTTGTTTCCGATCAAGAGAAATTATCGAGATCATAAAACTCTCTAAGGAATTGAAGCACAAGGTTCTGAACATTCTCGATGTTGAGGTGGACCGCAAAGGAGGGTCGTGGATTGGAGACAGCGTTCAAGAGGTGTAATGACTTTTTGAAAAAATTTCAATCACACTCTTTCTACTTTATTATATTTTTAAGGACACTTCCTCTATTATCAAAAATATCACTAACATCCTTCTAGTGTGACATTGACTTATATCAGTGTAACATTAGCTTGTAGCAGTGTAACATTGGTTTGTAGCATTTGTGACATTGTTGTGTATCACCGTGTCAATGTGACATGTACCACTGTACTAAATTTAAATTTAAAATATTCATGAAAAAAACACTCGTAACAATCAATAGTATTATATAAGGTGAAAACATATAATTCTCATTACGATTTATAAAAACAAAAATTAAAAAAATATATAAATGTAGGGAAGACATAAATAAAAAAAATTATATGAATGTAGTGTGATTTTTTTGATGGTAACAGTGTAAATTTTGGATGATAACAGTGTGAATTTTGGTTGGTAATAATGTGTCATTGCTAGTACCATTGTCAGTAGAAGGTATCACTGTGACATTTTGGTTTATAGTATGATGACATAGATTGGCGTGAGGGTGTTATTGACATATATTTTTGGTTTGAATGATAAAGGAATGAATGTTTCAATAAATGGTTGTTCAATTATAGAGGAATAGGTAATTTAAAATTCAAAAAAGATATACTATAAAATTAGGAAATTGAATCCCTATATAAATGTTATATTTGTCTCTCATTAATAAAGGAAAACAACAATTTAGTAAGAGAAAAAATTATAATTCAGTAAAAGTGTACCTCATCACCAAACATTTACACACAAAAGTACTTATACACATATATTTTATATTGAGGTATTTTTACACAAATAAGTATGAAAGGGGGTGCCTTTTCACAATTTTCCCAAAATTTGAATATGCTGCAACTCCAAAGTTCCTAATTGCATCTTACAAACATCAGATTGAGCTGATACAATGTCATCTGGGCGATTTTATTACACTGTCTCACGAACTACATAATAAATATCTTATTCCTTTAGTTGTCCCAAAGGATTTTATTAGTAGATCATGACCACAACGATAACATTGTCAAAGCGACTGTCAGTACAACAATAGTAAATATTAAAACGACACCCTGTTTAGTCCCGGTTAATGGACTCTGGCAGCTGGGAAACACTCTTTTTAAGTAAAACTTTCACAACAATCAACAGAAGTTGCAATTTTAACCAGCAACCCAAAGAACATAAGGGGGTCTGTGCCAATCAGGTCATGATCGGCGTCCACAACAATGACCTGTGATGGTGGCCATCTCTTTATCATGGCGTCTTGTTGCTCCGGCGGGAGTGTATGATCGCATCCTGTCTTAATGTACACGCGCCGCACTTGATCAGCTCTCTCTCCTTTGAATCGAGCATCTAGTATTGTCTTAACTGGTACTGCTGGCCGACGCAACAACGAACCTAAAGCTGCATCCTGATTAAACCCAAATTTCTGTTTCATGCAATTGTTAATTAAATAATGCAGTAAAAAAATATAAATTTAATTTATCAAATCCAGACTGCTTTTTAAATTAGCCGAGAATCGTTTTAACCACGTTGTCTTGTAAAGCAAAAATTGCTAGAGTCCGAAGATCGAAACTATTTGCTTTAATGATGCGGGTTAAAAAAGAGTTGGAACTAAAAAATTTATTTGTGTTATTTTATTATTTCAGATTTGTTGGATTTTTTTTCTTATTTTTGGATTTATCTCTCATTTGGTGGGGCCGGCGGTAACGTCTTTTTTTTAAGTAAATTTTTTAAAGCAAAAAAATATTTTCATAAAAGACAATAAAAGAATGCTTAATTACTATTTTACAAAAATGAATGCTTAACTACAATTTTACAAAAGTGTTCTAGATGCATTTATGTAATTTATCATCATTAAAAGAAGCGGGGAGAATCACACTTTGCATCAGGCACCCTAAAAGATTTAAGATTCTCATTTTATATTTTTAAAAATTAAAATTTTCATATTACACTCTTAATATATATAAAAAATATTACAATGTGAAAATTTTGTTATTTTATTTCGTTAATGTCAATAGGGTATTTTTTGACGAAAAAAATAACAAAAATTAACAAAAGAATTATATTACAATACTTTTAATATATTGAGTATAGAATGTGAAAAAATTTATCTTTAAAGATACAAAGTAATAATTTTTAAATCTTCCAGTGTCAAGTACAATACACCCAAAGAAGTGAGTATTACCAAAAAAAAAAAATTTAGTTAAAAAATTCCTTAAAAAACACAAAAATACTTTCAAAAAACATTACAAACGCCACGTAGTCATTACTTATTCCCGTCCTGTGATCTTGGCACATTGCAACTGATATTTTTCTTGTGATTTCAAATTTGTGAGCAATGTTCTTCTTCAAAAGTTTAAGAGATGTTTTGTTTTTTTGTCATTGTACATCTTAGAAATGTAATAACTTATAATTTAATGAGTAGTTCACGGTAATAAAAATAAATTATAAATTCAGACGTCTTCAATTCAAATTTTGGCAACTTTTGAATTAGGTCATAACAAATTTATCTCTCATTAATACCCTAATTCCGGCATGAATGACTGGATAGTCTACTTTTGACCGAACTAGAGAGAGAATTAGTTGAAGTGTATGTAAATTGACTCAGATAACCTTAACCATTTAACCCAAAAAAAAGAGTAATGATATAGAGACCTAATCTGAAAACCTGATAATGTGACTTTAATGTAATTATTAGATTAGTTGTGAGTTATAATATTAGATGAATCAAGTTATCAATCCAATAGCTGTATTGAAATAAGTCTTTATGTCCCTAAATTAAGTCTAAATAACATTTTTCAAAAAAAATGTAATAACTTGTTACCTCTCGATAAATGCCGACGTGATTCGTTTGGCACTCAGGTTTCTGTGTTGCCCCAGTCCTGTTTGGAGCCAAACCAGTTGCGAATGGTGGTGCTCCCTGTTTCACAACACTTTTACCAAAGTTAACAGCCCAATCACAAATATTTGCACAAGACAAAAAAATTCTATTGCATATCGAAAGCTCTATTAATTTGAACAAAATAAAAAATATATTATTTTTCTCTTACAACACCCGAGTAATTTTATACAAAGAAAAACAAAAAAAAATAAAAATCATAACTATAACCATATCAGAATTTAATCTTGTCTGTAGTTAATTTTTGACAAACAACCCAAAATAAAAAACGGTATATTTTTATATTCCGATTAGCCTGTTGCATTGGGCTCTATAGGACATGAAAAAGTAGCTTTTTTTTCATTAGTCTTACCCGCACAGATGAAAAATATGGAGGCTTTTCTTTTCTAGCCCATCGTATGCATTTGCTTATCAGCAAGGATGCAGTCTAAACTTTTAAATGCAAGAGATAGTGCATTGTATAGATTACAGAAGTTAATTGTATAGTCGAAGAAACTTCTCTGACCGTACATGAATTGGAAATGATGCTTAGCAATGGTTCAGAAAAAAAAAAACGTGTCTTACATCTTTTAAGTCTTGTTCTGTCATGAACCCATGTTTCAACATTGTTGCTGCTACATATACAGCAACCTTAATTTTGTCACTGAATCGGTGACACGCGTCTGTAACGCTTAGACCTCCTGCACTGTGTCCAACTAATATGACCTGAAATCACACCCAATTAAATTTAAAAAAAAAAAGATCAATGAAAAAAAGTCAACCAATAATCAAAACTTAGGTTCAAGGCGAGAGAGAGAGAGAGAGAGAGAGAGAGAGAGAGAGAGAGAGAGAGAGTGACCTTGTCATTATTGGACAAACTGGCGAAAAAATCAATGAGGGGCTTGTTATAAGCATTGAAACTATGTATTTTAGCAGGATCGGATGGATCAACACCAGCACCTTTGAGATCCAGACATGTCGCTCTGTAGTTAAATGCCTCAAGTAGGGCCTTGATCTTATACCAGCCCCATGCTGCACCAGTATAGCCATGAACTAGGACAAAGTGTGGGGTTGAACTTGAACGAGTCTTATTCTCTACTTTTCCCTCATTGCAAAGGAGGAGAGAGAAAACCAAAACTAACAACAGAAGAAAAATGAAAACTCTTCTTGGAGACATCCTTAGAGAGCTTCAACTTCACTTGGTTATTCTCTTATGAGAGGTCCGAGTGTTCATTCTTATAAGATTTGATGTGTTTCACAATCGGCATTCTTAAGATGTGGGATGTCATCATCAAAGCCATGCTATGAATGATGAATTGTAAGGTTAGTGTGGGACAAAGGTCAAACCTCCAGTGGGGCGCCACCCACTCCAAACCACATTTTCCATCTCCTTATCTACACTTCTATGGGGGTCTATGAATCCATCTCACATATGTCTTACTGTGGGGCTGGCGTGGACCACATAGCAGGAGCAGGAGGCTTCTAGTACCTCAAGGCGTCGCCCACTACAGCAGTCTCCAAGCAGCAGCCTTCAGGCGTCGTCCAAAGCGCCTACCCAGCTTCCTGCGTCGCCCAGGGTGCTGCCCAGCCTCCTAGCATCGTCCAAGGTGCCTGTCCAATCTCTCTTGGCATTGCCAATAGTGCCCAAGGCGCTGCCCAGCTAGTTGCCCCGCCTCCGGTGTCACTTGCACTTAGCGCCACCACGCCCCTCGTCCTGGCGTCGTCTCTGCCCGGCACCCAGCTTGGTTCGAGATCCAGAGTTCTAGCAAAACTTGACTTCGAGTATCAGGCGAATATTGATAAACAAAGCCTCTAGCGAGCATATTCTTTCTTACAAGTCAAGACTCAACGTTTTAGTATGATTCTACCTTGAACATTTAGAAGATTGGTGATGAGATTTATCCTATCACAACCTAGATTTCAATTCTACTTAGAACACTGTTTCCTATATTGCTATAAATAAAGGTTATGGGTACGAGGTATGCAATTCAATCCTAGCCTATTCACCATACACTTTATCTTTGACTTGCTTACTTAAGTATTAGAGTCCCTTTGGCCGCCTCCGACTATCGGTTCACCTAGAAGTTCTCTTGTCTTGTAAGTTGCTCAAAGTTTACTCACCACCCTCTCCGTTTGTACGAGGTAGTTACTCTCTATGTGGATTTACTCCTGCATAATTGGCGCCATCTGTGGAAAACGATTAATTTTTCTACCAACCAAGAAGCCTTGAAACCATAACTAGCAAGAGAGCCCTCAATTCCAAAACTAGCCATTCATTACTTCCACTACCCCTGATCCACGAGGGTCCTGCTAACTATGACCTCCAGTTATTAGAGGAAGTGTTGCCTGGTGTTGGGCAGGACCAGTCAAGAGAAAATCCTCATTCTCATTGTAACCTACCCATTCTCCATGCAAAAGGTGGGTTAGTCACTGAGATTGATTATCATGAGGCAATCAAGAAGAAAACGGAGGAGCTAGAAGCTCTCAGGCGCTAGAGTGGCAAACAATTCACTAGCAAGGTCAGGTGGTCAACTCGTAAACATGATCGTCGTAACAATCACATTGAGAAAGCCTATTCCTCCCAACATAGGAGCCATTTTCGAGCAAGGAGCTATTCGACTCACAAATAGAATAGAAGTAGGTACTCATCTAGGAGAAATGTTACTAATCGTACCCTTAGTGACCTTTCTCCAAGGCATGGTCACCCTCATCATAGGGGCGAGGGCGAAACACATAGACAACGCCGTCGTAGAGAGAAAAAGGGATGGCATGAGAGTCCTTCCCGATATCAAAGGAAAGACCGTTGGGACAACTATAGAGGAGAAAAACGAAGGCGCTCTGAACAAGCTCATGATGTGGCCACCGGGCCGCAACATGACTATGCTCATGATGACCTCGTTTATTCAGCAAATGAGAGAACGAGGCAGACCCTCACAAGGATGACTATCACACTTTTCGTTTGGTCGATACAAGATTCCGAACCCCCACAGAAATTCAATCCTCTAACTTTCGAGTTGTATGATGGTCAGTCTAACCCCATGCTTCATATAAGAGCTTACACCAACAAGATGACTCTCTAGACAAGCTATGAGGCATTGTTGTACAAAATGTTCTACTCTAATTTGGAAAGTCGATGCTCAAGTGATTTTATGGGATGCTTGTGAACTCAATCTACTATTGGGAACAACTCGCTAAGGTGTTTGTCTCTCGATTCATAGCTAACAACTGAGAACCCATGACAATTGATACACTCTTGGCATTACGCCAAAAATAAGGAGAGACAAAACTACCACACCTCTTTCTTTTCTTTAAGGGCAATGCTATTGGGACCTAATTTTTTGACATAATTTACTGATTTAATTCATTGTGACTTTTAGATCGACTGTAGGCTCCATCAAACATTGAAAGTTTGTATTGATCTAATAATTACATTGAAACCACATTATTATATCAACAAATTATGTCAAATTTTTAGATTCAAATAACAATATTCAAAAATAAAAAAGAGTATCTACAAATATAAATTGAACGATATAAGCCAAAAAAATTAACAAAAATTCTAAAATAATATTATTTATTGACATAATTTCTCTTTCCTCCTACAATTCTCCTATTCTTCCATCGTTACATAATGAGTGATCTTTCAAAAGACAACACTACCACACCTTTCCACTCCCAGCTGGCACACTACTCACTATTTTATTTTCTCAGCACTTGTCACAATTAGGGAAGAAACATTAGTAAATGTGACAGCCGCATGGTGATCCATCAAATTTGCTAAAAAATTAATTTCCCTTAACTTGCACACTTGTCCTTTCCACATTCCACTGCGGTGTGAGCAAGGGAATATTTTTCATTCCCATCTCATTTACCATTCTCATCCTATTATATATTCGTTTTAATGATTAGTCAACCCAAAATTTACAATCACCACCTACGTCACTCAACCCCCTAAATCTGCACCACCCATATCCACTGTTGTCACTACCAAGTTGAGGATAGCGTAACAAGGAAGCAAATTTTGTATGTTATTGATTTTTAAATAGGAAAGCCTTTAAGCAAAATATGATGAATGAACTAAAACGGTTAGAATTTTATACTACGGGTCATGTGGCTGAATATAGGAGCAATTGAGGTTGTGAAGGAGTTTTGAAGACTATGATTGATTCATCAATTTGATACTAACTTATTATCTGTTGGTTTAGACAATCGTGATTTTAAATTTTTTTACAAAAATTTGAGAATAGTATTTAAGGTTAGGACGCTAGGGTTTCTAATGGAGGGTAGGATAGAGTTAGAAAACATATGCTTAATTACGTGTTCGGATGAACAAACACAAAATTAATTTAAAGAGGCGTGTAAGTAGAAATCGATTAATTTCACACACTATTTTTTTTTAATGTATATATATAAACTAAGGTGTGTTGATCTAAACAAACTATTTTTTTGAATTTAATGGTTGATTATCGTGATTTGAACTAGACTAAAACGTGACCCTTAAAAAGAAAAAATTGTAAAGAAGATAATCAACATGGGAAAAAAAAAAACCCATGAGAGGCGGAATACAATGGTTCAATCAATTGTACCACCAGTTGTCCTGCACCACAGAAACTGTGAAGTTACAATTTTGTCCTTGTTGGCATCTCTCTCTCTCTCTCTCTCTTTATATATATAATATATAAACATAGTTAATGCACCATCAAAATTCCAAAAATGAGAAATGAGACTGAAAACTCAGGCCTAAAATGCACAGAATTAGTAAGGATCAAATTGTACCTTATGAAACCTAAGTTATAACTATTTATAATCGATCAAATTTCATGATCATATAGATCTTTAAAACGTTATAATTTGATCTTAAAATATTATAATAATTTTTGGTACGATAACTTATTGGATATTGTAACCATCCTCGAGGATTATATTGAATTCCAGTGAAGATTCCATCATGGATTGTATGATGGTGTTGGTGGCATCAAATTCATATGGTCCAATTACATGGCTGAAAGTGCTCACTCCCAAAAATTTGGGCTGACAATCCACCAGCATTTGCCACCAGAATGTTGCTATATATTGCAAGACCTACAATTACATGATAATAACTTGTTTTAAAGAGGTTTCTCAAGATTTGGAAACCTTTTGTCCGTGATAAGCTTCACTTGTTTTAAAGGGTAAAAGTGACAATTCAATTGTGTCGTGTCATATTCGAATTATGTTTATGTCGAATATGAATCAATTCTAGTCTTTTTTTTTATTATCAAGCATGCTAGATAGTTTGGTACTAATTTTACTTGTTAATAAATGTGTTACGAGGTGAGGACTAATGTAGTGATGAGAGTTCATATTAGCTAGTAGGTGATTAGGGGTTCAAATCTCATCATCTCCCCTTCCTTCCAAAAAAATATTTGTGTCATGTTTACACTTGCAAAAGCCAAGTAAAAATTATCAAATTCTATAAGATTTATATAATACTAAATCAAGAAATAAAAAAAAATTAAAAAAATCAGTTAAATAGATTTATCGTGTCAAAATTGAGTTATTTGTGTTTGACACTTGGTTGGACCATTAGTTATTTATCCTAACGCATTATTTTTTGGGATTAAAAATTAACCAACATAGTTGATTAATTTAATGGCAAATTCAGCAGGTATTAACAATTAGTTCAAATTTTGGCAATTTCTTTGGACAAAGTTATGAGAAATTTATCTCTTATGAATATTCTAATTCCGATGTGAATGGGCTGCTTTTAATCAAACCGAGAATGAGATTAGTCGAAATATACGTAAACTGGTCCGAACATCCGTGACCATTAAAAAAAAATTATCACCCATGTTAAAATGACATCCCAATCCAGAAATTGATGAGGATTTCTGCCATCGATGAGGATTTGATAGAATATGGAAATTTTCCCACTAACCCAACAAGAGCCTTAGAAAGTAATATAAGAAGTCAAGATCATCCCTAATTGAGGATACAACAAAGATTAAGACTATTATGCACCAGGACCCAACCGTAAGAGCAGCAAAGAAAGGTCAACATGATTAATGTGGGTGGCCCATAACTTTAGCCGACATTGCAAAAGAAGATAGAACAACACTGTAGAGGGTGACTAGATGTAAGTAGCAGGCTATGAAACGCATTATCAATAGGGACCTAACTACGGTACGCCCAAAAAAATAAAGTATATCCTACTTTTAAAATTTATTATTTTAATAAATTTTTTATAATTTTTGTAAGTTATTTTAGGGCT